CAGAATGGACTGACGCGTACTACATGTCCTACGTGGACTCTCCACAAAATCCACAGACCTTACGTTGCATTGACTTAATCCTTTATCCGGGACTGACCGCCCGGCAGATCCTCTCTTCACCATTCTCCCCGACTCTCTCCCACCTATTCTTACACGTACAACCAATTGCGATGAATTGCTCCTCAAACAGGCTTCCATTTACACGCGGCGCATCTCTACCACGAAACACCGTGACTCTCACCGAGAAATGAAGTCCATTTAGCCTCCGTGGCTCTGGCTTCCGTCTCGAACTCAAACACAAGCTCACGAATTTCAAACACTGCCCGCATAATCAACATGCATCGCATCTGGCTAGGCTGCCTTGCCCTTGGCCTTGACCAAACCGCGCATGAGCCCCTGTGGATTTCCTCGCTGACACACGGAACTGGCAGGAGGAGGGGAGGCAGACAGACACGGACACATACCTGGCAGAGCACCTCCCCGAATCAATGCTTAGATGAATTTCGTCGCGCGTTGTATCTAATCACGGCTTCTTCCACCAATTTGGCTTCCAAATGAAGAAGTGAATGGAACTGGCCGAAGCGCAGGAATTCTATCGTCAGGTCCCCGAAGAGGGTCTCCTCGTCGTCTTTGCCCAGCAGCTGGCGGGCCAGCTGGAGGGTCTGGGGGAAGCGGAAGGGGCCCTCCTGGTCTGGCTGCGGCGTCTCAGTTGTGTAGAGGTCGATCGTCGCCACGTAGTAGAAGTTGTCGATGTACATGAGAGCGGCGAAGGTGTCGTGTTGGCCCCCTCCGCACAGGTAGATGGAGCCGCTCCGCCGGCCGTTGTCTACAGTCCTGGTCTGGCGACCCCAGGGGATGGCGGCCTGCAACACAAGGAGGTGCGTTGACGGAGATAGCCATCTGTCGAGCCACGCCATTAACCTACTTGGGTCAGCAGATCGACAGCTCGCTGCCACCGAGCCTGTGCTGACGCGCCGTTGATCATGCGATGACACATGCTTCGCTCGTGAGACGGAAAACTAGGCAGAGAGGCACACAGACGGATCATCCATATGTGTGTGGGGGTGGCTTCTGGCGTCGCCTTACCGCTTGACGACCAGGTGTCGGAAACTCATGTAATCCATCTCGTTGTTCACTGATGGCAGCACAAACGCACACACATCATTGACCACACAGGAGCATCGCCCTGCTATGCCATGTGCATCGTCCCTCTCGTCTCGCTCTCACCTCTCACGATGGGGTCCGTTCAGTCGAACGAACCGGCGAATTCATGGGTGGCGGAGAGGGTCTGCTGCGTGTAGACGGTCACCACCGTGTCGCCCAGCTGCTCGACGCCGTCGATCTGTCTGAGGGCCATCGCCTCATCTTGCCCCAGCAGGTGGCCGAAGAGGCTGTACTGCTTGAGGCTGTCCGCCCGGCCGTCAAACACCGCCTTGGACCCCACACGCCGCACGTCCGCCGGCCTCACAGTGATGGGCAGCGACTCGACGACCCGGCCGTGTCGGGCGATGCGCATCGGGCCCACCCACCCGGCCCACTGCCCGCCATCCTCCAACACGCACAGCAGCTGCAGCAAGTAGGCCATCCGCGGCGTGGCCTCGCCATCGCCCGGCTGGTAGCTGGCGTCGAAGGTCAGCACGCCGCCTATCTGCTGGTCGGTGATGCACCGGTTGATGCGCTGGACGAGGTAGTTGTCGGTGAGCTGCTGTGTGGCCACGCGGGAGGTCAGGCGGAGGGCATACAGGTCCGCTGCACAGATGTAGTCCGCCACCGCACTGCCCGCCTCATCAAGCACCTTGAGGAAGAGGGAGGGGGAGAGTGAGGCCGCCGAAGCAGCCGACGCGCCCTCTGTGCGGGCACGCTTCGTCATCACAGCGGAAGCGGTTTCACATGCATTCATGTTCCTTGCCTGAATGCATGTGCATTACGTCAGTCGTCGACTTGAAATGTTTGCACCGTTTTTTTGAGCTCGCTGAGCTCACGGTCTTTCGCCATCGGCGCATCTGAGGGAAAGCAGACCCGCTCGAGGGGAAGGATGCATCCATTGCGTCCAGCTGTACGTTCTTTCCGTCTTTCTGCTTCGCGACATCGCGCCTTCGCATCGTCATCAAGTTCTGCTCATGCAGATCTCCACACACAGCCAAAGATCACAGGTGCGCATGGATGGACTGACATAAACAGCACCCACACTGACACATGAATGAAAAGATCTGCAGCGTGGATGAGTGGTCTCTGGTGTGTGTGTCAATGAATGCAACAGATGTCCTCGACGCGCCAAAGGGGCGCCCTGTCACGGTCCTCTCTGACCGCCGCCCAGCCTTTGCCAACGGCGGCAGCAAACGCAGAATCGATGGGCGGGCTCTGCGGCCAAAAGCTGACCTCTCGGCAGCCTCCTCCATCGACCAGGTCTTTGACCACCTGTCGGGCAACCTCTCGCCAGCCTCGACCATCCCTCTCAGCCTGCCCTTTGCTGCATCCGCTCTGCATCGGCTAATGCAGCTGTCGGCGTCAGCTCAGCGTGTTGATGATCGTGATAAAGAGAGCATGGCTGAACTGCTTCTGGCGATTCATCGGTCCCTGGAGAATTCGTGTGAACGGGTCGGCAGCGCTTTTTCGGTCAGCAGAGGGGCGGTCATCCGCTGTGTATACGGGATTGTGCGGCTCTATGGCTCGCCGCTGATGCCCCACAACGACCGTCATCCCCCTTTCGACCGGTCGGCAACGGCCGTCCTTCAGGCATCCTCTTCCCTCGATGGGTGGAGGCGGCCCATCACGGCAATCCTCCTGGAAGCGACTGCACTGCTCAGAAAGATGGACGAGAGCCGTCCACAAGACTCTCGGTGGGACACTCGTGATGCGGCCAACCTCGTGTGGGCGCTGGCGAAGGTGGCCGAGTGGCACAAGGACACCAAGGCAGACGAGGGAAAGGCCGCACTGGTCGACGCGTGTGGGTGGGCAACGGAGAAGGTGTCGGCGACGCTGCGAGATGTGGAGAGGGAAAGACATGGGCGTGGTGGCGTGAAGCCATTGGACGTGTCGACGATGGTGTGGGGGCTGGGGAAGTTCCGATACTGCCTGTCACCGAAGCAAGATGACGACGACCCGGACTACAAATATCGGGTGAGGATGACAGAGAGCAACACGTCGATTGCAGCCATGACATGCTCTCCTTCCCATCTCTGTCCGTGTCAGGCCGTGTCTGCCCCGACGTCGATCGCATCGCTCTGCCGGTCCCTCGACGCCCTGCTGCCGTCGATCGTCTTCAACCACATGCAGCTGACCGACACTGCATGGGGCCTGGCGCGACTCAGTGTGTGTCGAAGGACGGGAGAGGTAGGGGAGAGGCTTTACCACCGCATGGCCGAGGCCGCCATGCCGTTGATTGACGGATTCTCGACAAGAAGCCTCACGAGCTTTCTTTGGTGAGGTGAAACTGAATCGCCGGGAACCATCTGTCCATCCTATTTTGTTGGCTCAGGTCGTTTGGCCATTCACAGTATCTGGGCCATCCGTCCCTGCTGCTGGCGATCCAGTCATCATTGCTCACGCGAATCGCCTCCCTCACCCCCCAGTGTTTTTCCAACACCATGTGGGCGTACGGCAGGCTCATCGAGGACGTCAACCCGGCAGACCCGCCAGAATGGGCCGAGCCAGCCCATCTCGTCAACTGGTATGTCTGAGCGCACCAGCCAACCTCCTTGCATTGCGTGTATGTATGTCTGCACCCCTGTGTGTGTCTGTGTGCAGGCTGGCGTCCTTCGCGAGCTCTGACGTCTACCCATTGGAAGGCGCCATCCCCCAGAACATGTCTAACACCATATGGGGCCTCGCCGTCCTCGCAAGCCACCTCTCGCCCGGCCAATTAGCGTCCCTCAAGCACGGCCCCGTCGGCCACCTGTGCCAGCGCGTTGCCCGGGACGGCACCAAGATGCTCTCCACCTTCCACCACCAGCCACTGCAGAACCTTGTGTGGGGCTTCTCTGTGCTGGGATACGGCTACGCGAGAGGCGGCCATCAGGACAGTGTGTCTGTGCTGTATGAGAGGGCGGCCGACGAGGCCGAGAGGCGGCTGGCGTACCATCTTGGGCGCATGAGAGAGAGGGAGAGGGAGAGGGTGGGGGACACGAGCGAGCCGAACAGGCGGGACACTGTGTCGATGGTCATGGCATTCGCAAGGGCTGGGTGAGACCAGAGAGAAGGAGAAGGGAAAGAGGGACCGTTCAAGGAGATCGCTCCTGTTCTCTCTGTCTCTTTGATTGTGTGGATGAGTGCAGGTATTATCCCCCTGGCTACTGCAAGACGCTCTCTGCGTTTCTGCTGGCCGACAACCCCACAAAGGAGACCAAATGCAGAGTGGCGGCTTACAACACAAAGGTGACGACAGCACGGATCCATCCATGTATGTACGTCGTTTGCATGCTCTCTGTGCTGTCACTGTCAGTCTGTGGTGACCCTTCTCACGGGCTGGTCCAAGTACGGCCCACAGGCTGTGGAACGACCGTTGTTCAATGAAATCGCAGAGTACGCTCACACACATACACACATCATGAGTCCATGCTCACCTACCTGTCTGTCTGTCTATCTGTCGGCTTGTCCCAGCATCCTCCATGCTCGGCTGCCCACCATGTCCATGACCGACATGGTCCGATCGCTGTCGGCATATGCGCCTCTCCCGTCGCCCCCCACACCCCTGTTCGATGCAGTGGCCCGCCTGCTGCACGAGAAGGGCCCCGACTACCTCGTGCAGACGACCCCATTCGACGCAGCGACCCTTGCGTGGGCGTATGCGAGGGCCGGGTGTGTCAACAAGGAGGCGTTCTTCTTCGTGTCGCAGTTCTTCTGGAGGAAGCCCAAAAACCTCGCCAAGTGCACTCCCGTGGTCAGTGATATGAATGATAAGGCCTCTTGTATGGCCAAAGGTGCGGATGGACGTGTGTGTGTGTGTGTGTGTGTGTGGTCCAGCAATTGGCTTTGACGTGTTGGGGATTCGGCCGGTCGGGTGTGTGTGATGAGGAGCTGCTGGGGATGATCACGACTCACGTCATGGAGGAGAGAGACTGGGACACATTTGCACCACGAGACCTGGCAACCATCGGTGAGCCACACCACGCACATGCGCATGTGAATATACCACACGATTGTATGTGTTTCACCAATGCAGCATGGGCATACGGCACTCTTGGTCTGCGCCATCCCTCCTTCTTCACACAGCTGACAGAGTGGTCGCTCTCCCACCTGCCGTCCTTCACACCCCTGGCCCTCACCACCCTCCTGTGGGCCGCCGCATCCACAGGCCACACCGATCCGCAGTTTTATGACAAAATCGCCAGCGAGATTGACCACAGGCTTGGCGAGAGGGATATTGACGTGCTCGCGATGGACTCGTCTGACCCACTGGGCGACCCCGCATGCTTCACTTTGCGGAACCTTGCCGACGTGGTGTGGAGTTTGGTGACGGCTGGGTGCCTCGATGCCCCTGTGTTCGATCGGATTCGGTCAATCGTCGCGGACAAGAAGGTGCTGGTTCACACTGACCGCAAGACGGCATCGAAAGTTGCATGGGCGTACGGCAAGACGGCAGGTGGCCTGCCGACGGAGATGTGGGAGGCGCTGACAGATCGGGCACTGCGAGAGGGCAACATCAGCCGGGATGAGGTGGTCAGGCTCATGGGTGGCGAGACGAAACGCTATGCGCCAACCTCGTCGATTCTGCTGGCTGACCACATGATGGCGCATCATCTGGCGAGATGCCCCCCTGTTGTCGAAATGAGGGCGCATCAGGTAATAAGGCATGGCCACGAGATGGGGGGGTTTAGCGTTGATGTGTCCATGTCCTTGCCTGCAGAGTGACGGGCCCGGGAAAGACGTCCCTCGAGTGCTGTACGAGTCGCCTCTCTGGTGGGTGCTCTACAAGCCTCCGAAATGGACGGTGCTGCCATCGCTGCCGCCACCGGCCGCAGGGGAGAAGGGCAGCAGGGCAGACGAGCCAAGGGAGGACTCGCGGAGACCTGACCTATGGACGGAGGAGCCAGCTGTGGCTATCGACAAGGCCAAGAGGATGGTCGCGAGCGACGAACAAGAGAAACTGCACCTGCTGCTGGGTCCGTCTGCTTGATTGGACACATTGCGATAGAGATGCACGCAAACCGAACCTTCTTGTGTTTCTTGTGTGTGCAGCTCGTGCGTGGTGTTGGGCGAAGAATGGCTCACCGATCCTTTGCAATGGCGATGTCGATTACGGCATTGCCCATCGCCTGGATGCCGACACGTCAGGCGCTCTCATCGTGGCCAAGATCCCTGCCGCATGGCACTTCCTGCGTATGCTCTTCGACGCACAGATGGTACCAGCGAGACGAGCCGAGAGGGGAGTTTTATGTGTGGGTGAGTATCTGATTGCGTGTTTGGTTTGTGCAGGTGTCAAAGGAGTATCTGTGTCTGGTGCATGGTCGAGTGCCGGCGGGGCAGCACTGGGCTGCAGATAAGCTGAAGGTAAGTAAGGTTACACAAGCTAAGACGCATCCGAAGCAGGCAGCAACGGCGCTTGCATCTGGCTGCATTGCACGGGTGCAGACAGAGAGTGGCGAGCTCTATTCAACCACGTCAGTCGAAGGTAAACACACCACACAGGCGGCAGCAAGCAACGTGATGCGTTTGTGTGTGTATTGCAGAGGATGGCCGTGTTGCAGTGACGTATTACGAGTGCCTCGGCCACCTGCAGCGCACACCTACGGAAGCGGAGAGCGATTCAGCTGGTGCTTGCTCAGAGGGCAGTGCATCCATGATGAGCCTGGTGCGTGTGCGGCTCATCACTGGCCGCACGCACCAAATACGCGTCCATCTCAGCAACACAGGTTCGCCACATCGATGGATGTGTGATGTCTGGGCGGCAGGGATGCATGTGTGAGCTATCAACTGATGGTGTTGTGATGATGTCGGTGTATGTGTGTTAGGTTATCCCTTAGTTGGCGAGAACAGATACGCCACCGCAAGACAAATCGAAGGTGAGGCGCGCGACCACATCACACATGACTATGTGGTGCAATTGAATCGATCAGATGACAAGACATGGGTCCCTCGGTTGTTCCTCCACTGTCACAACCTACGCTTCTGCGACCTACAAGTAGGCAGGCAGGCGCAATCGCAATCTGTGCTTCTCTCTGTCTGTATCTATTGTGTTGTCTCTCCGTCCGCGTGTGCAGGGCCAGCCTGTGGATGTCAGCTGCCCACTGCCCTCTGACTTGCAAGATGTGCTGAGGCAGCTGCAGCCAGTGCATTTGATTGAGTCGTGAGTACATGTGGACAAGTGCACTAATGCAGTGCAAATGTGGAATTCGCTTTCTTGGCAAACGGACTTTTTCTCAGCGTGAAACGGACTTCGGTGTGGGCTGGATGAATGTCATCAGATGCCTCAGATGACTCAGCGGACCCTCCTGTGAGACACCAATGGGCCTTTGCTGCCTCGCGTGAAAGCGTGACTCAACCTCGGCAAGCAAACTCGCCTATTCGGTCGCAAATCGCCATCGAAAATGGTTCATCTTCTGACAATCAAAATGCCTTTATTTCTCCATGGAGTCACTCTTTCATCGGTCCGCTCTTTCACAGAGGGGTGCTTCATGTGTCTTGCGGTCATTTCGAGCCATGAGTGGTCGGCCCGAATGGCTGATTTGAGTCTGTTTGTGAGTTGCTTGGTTTATGCGGTTCATTTTGCTTGTGATCAGAGTGATCACAGTCACCAATGGGCTGATTGCTTGACAGGAATGATTGCTTTGTGGTGATTGCTTTGCCACATGAATGAGACACGCGATAAGCAACCGAGACACGATGAGAATGAGCGATGGTGGTGTGCTGTGCTGCTCTCTGATGCCGCTCTGTACTCCTCGATCACTCACTCATACATAAACATGCGTATACAGGTGACTGCTTCACTCACTAAGGCCTTAGTGAGTGTGATGCCGCTCTGTACTCCTCGATCACTCACTCATACATAAACATGCGTATACAGGTGACTGCTTCACAG